CGCACAGGGTTGGCAGGAGACGCGGCCTTGTCCTCAGGGCCGTGTGCAGTGAGGAGGCGGGATGGAAGGGCTGCCTCTGAGGAGAGGAGATTTAGGGAAGGCTTGTGGAAGAGCAGCCGTGGATCTCGGCCTGAAGGCCGAGAAGGGTGTGCGTGGGTTCTAGATGGACCGTGGGAGGGTGTTCTAGGCAGGGGGACAGCCTTGGCAAAGGCAAAGAGGCCCTGATGTAGGTGGGGAAAAGGGAGCCGTGTGTGGCTACCACACAGGTTCTGGCAGGACTGAGCCGGACGTGAGATTAGGGTGGACTAACTATTTTGTTTAATGTTTTGTTTTGATTTGGGGTACTGGAGGTTGAACCCACGGGTGCTCTACCTCTGAGCTACATCCTAGTCCTTTTCACTTTTTATTTTGAGACCAGAATCTTGTTAAATTGCTCAGGCTGGCCTCCAACTTGCGATCCTCCTGCCACAGCCTCCTGAGTAGCGGGGGCGGGGGGTGGACTACAGGTGTGTGCCACAGTCCTGACTTGGGCTACTCAGTTTTGAGAGCAAGTTACAAAGGGTTTGCATGTTCTTTGATGGGCTCTGAGGGGCCATGGAGAAGGGTGATGTCACCTGAACCTGCAAGTGGATGGTCAGCTCCACCTGCCCCTCATCCACAATGCAGGGACTCCTCTAGCCAGGGTGGGTGGGTGAAAAGAAAGGTCCTCACCTCTTCAGAAAGACTCTGCCAGGACAGAGCTGCAGGTACTTCAGGACTCAGTTGGTCTGAGCTCCCCTCACTAACCCTTCATTCCATCTCCAGTTCACCCAGGTGCTCGGCATGGGTTCTGAGGGTGCCTAGGGACCTTGCATGTGCTGTCCAAGGTGCTGAAACAATGTCTCCCCTTTTAAGTATTCCCTTTGGAATGACTGGAACCCCCACCACTGTTTCTGTTGGGCAGAGAATTTCATTCTCATTTTACAGGTGAGAATTAGAAAATCCAAAGGAGGGTACCCAGAGCTATGAACTCGCTTATGACCTTCCAGCCCAAGACTATCCTCCCCCACTGGGAAGCCCTAGTGAGATTCACCAATGGATGCCCCCAAATAATGCCATTGCTGCTGCCGAGCTAATGGGTAAAATGCCCAGGGTCTCTTCCTACCTCCATCCCCATCTCTGTTCCCCAAATGCTGACATATCCACCTCACAGTGCCTCCTGGGACTGACTGATCACTCAGGGTGATGCACAGGTGCTTGGGTGGATCTGCCTGCAACAGCTAGTTCATCCTGACACTGTGTGTGTGTGTGTGTGTGTGTGTGTGCATGCCAGGACTTGGGGAAGCAAGTCCCCTCACCACCCTAAAAACTTAGCATTCCACCAGGGATCTATTATGTTCCAGGCACTAAGCTGTGAGTTTTCTGCATGAAGTTTCCCACTCTCACAGCTAAAGTCTCCTGTAACAGATGAGGACATTCAGGCTGAAGCAGGACAGTGACTTGCCAGTAGGCTGAGCAGGGGTGGGAAAGCCAGGATTTGAACACATATTTGTGTGGTTCTACAGCACCCCTTCCATCAGAGCTCATCAGCTAACAAAAGAGCTTTTGGGGGCTCCCGCCACTACTGGCTTCTTAATCCTAGGTGAGTCACTTATCCTGTTGGAACTTCAGCTCCTTGTTTGCAAATCGAGGAAAGTGTACCACTGCAGGGCTCCCGGGAGGCATGGAGGAGATGATGCAGGCAGCACGGACTTGGTGAGTGTCGCTACTGGTGTGGGAAGGATTATTATCAGAGCACCAATCCTTGGTGGTGGCTGGATGGGCGTCCAATGAGCCTTTGCATACACACCTCGCCCCAGTCCTTAGCAGAATGAATATCCAGTGTTCTGGTGAGAGGGGAGAGGGTGAGGGCCAACATGCCCAGCACGCCAAACAGGGCCTGCTTCTGCCCCATGTCCCTGTGCCCTCTGGAGGTGGGGACCACCTGGCTGGAGCAAGCAGGTCACTGAGGTCCCAGAGATGGTTCTGTACTATCTCATCAGCACTGGGCCTGGTGGTGTTGAGCCCAAGACCCCTCCCAGCCCTCAGAGAGTTGGCATTCATAAAGCTGCACGACATCCTGGTGGGAGGGGACAGCTGAGGATGTGGCCTCCTATCCATGACCAAGCATGTTGGCCACTCACATCTGACAGCAGGCAAGACTGCTTGACTCCTTCTATCTTACAGATAAGGAAACTGAGGCCCAAGAAGGTGAAGTGAGGCATCCAAGGTCGCCGAGCCTAGGGTGAAGGTCTCTGAACTCCCAGAGACTGGATCTTTTAATTAGCCCATCGCCAATTCCCTATCCTAAAGCCTGTTGGGAAACAGGCAAACCATCCAACAGACAAAGGCACATCTAATTATTACTGACTGCGGGGTAGTTTAAGGGGAGTGTGCTCTGCAGATTGGTTGTCCCACCCCCCACTTTGGCCAGAGCTGGCTAATTGCAGGAAGTCACATACTTGAGAAGCTGGGGTGAGGGCAAGAGTAACAGTATCCCCCTTGGAGCCTGGTGCTTGCAGAAATGAGTCACTTGCTGGTTGAGAAGAGTTGACTGTGCTGTAATCACCTTGAGGGGACCCTGCCTAACACCCAACAGGGCCCCAGAAAAGCCTTTCCAGGTATAATGAGGCTGAGCAGGAGATGAATGGCAATTCACGGGGTCTCACCAGGGCAGCGTGGCTCACCGTCTGTCTTCCTCCTGAGCCCCAGGCAGGAAGGACTCTACTGTGAGATGATGCCAGCAAGCATCAAGCCCCCCAGAGTTCAAGGACAGGAAGTAATTTGCATCCCAGATGGGAGGCGGTGGCCTGGCCTCTAGACTAGTGGAGCTCCGGCTGGAGGCAGTGAGCACAGCAGCCCTTCTCCCCAGGCCCTCCCCGCCCCTCCCAGGCCCTGATTTTCCCTTCTTCTGAGGAACAGAGATTAAGCAGGGATCTGGGGGTGAAAAGGGGGAACAAGGAGGTGGGGCTCTCAGGACATCCATGATGACGCACATGAGCAGACCGTGACACCCCTCAATGAGTCCCACCCGCTTGGTGCACATGCCTTCTTGCTCTTGCTTTCCCTCATGTCCCCTGGAAGTGGCTATTTTCCCAATTTGGTCCATGGAGTCCACATAGCAGATCATCTTGGACATCAGTTGGTTCAGCTCCCCTGGCCACTCACCATGTACACTCTCCCAAAGTCACAGAACGACTCTAGTAGCCACGCTGGAACTCGGCTAGGGTCGGGACACCCCATTAGCAGTTGGGTGCAGTCAACTTCAATCTCTTGATCATTTGTTCTGTGAGATTTTTAATCCCAAGTAATTATTCTCTCCTACCCAAACCCCAAACCTAGGGTGCTACCATTTTTCCGTGGAAGTTATGGACCACCACTCACACCAGTTCAGGCCAACTAGAAGGAAACCTCTAGAAGGAACAGACATTTTCCCTTTAAAGACACCAAAGAGTTTGTTTTCACCCAGCTTTATCTTTACTGAGGAAGAGGAAGAGACGCTAGGCCATGATTTGTCGTGCTTTGCAGACCAGGGATGACCTGCCCTCAAAAGACAGTGTCACCAAGTAAACAAGCCCCTCTCTGCCATTCTCATGACAGGGTTGTCTTGCAGACCGTGGGTCACCACCCTGGCAGCACACTGGCTTCAGTCAGATCACACCCAGACCAACAGTGCCAGCGCCTCTGGAAGTCCAGCCAGGTATCAGTGCAGCCCATGTCAAAAACCACAGCTGTGCATTCCCTTCCTCCTCAGGGTGGAGACACACCCACAGCATCAATCAGCTTGTCAAAGCTGCAGAGCCTCAGGCCCCACCCAGACCTGCCGCATCCGAACCTGACATTCAACAAGGCCCACTGCTACAGCGGCTCTGGGTGGCCTTTCTCTACACCAGGAAGCCACCACGAAGGCAGGTGTTCCATTTCACGGGTGAGGAAGCAGAGCCTAAGAGAGGTTATGTTGGCCTAAGGTCACACATCAGTGAGTTGGACAGCTAGGATGTGACGCAGATCCATTTCCAGAGGCCACACTCTTACATTGCACAAACCACTTCCTATAGCACAATTAATAAAAAAAAAGAGTCTGGGGGACGTCTACACGAGGGTCCTTGGCCTCACAGCAAAATGCCCCACCTTTGAATAGGATTCTACTTCCAGTGTCAAGTTCCCCAGAATCAAACCTCATAAAGACGAGCATAATTCATGAGGAAACCCAAACAGTAAACAAACACGTGGGGAAAATGTTCACTCTCCCTAGTAATCAGAGAAATGCAAATTAGAGCAACAGTGAGGAACCATTTTCTACCTATCTAATTAGCAAAGATTTTTTTTTCTTAATGTTAGCGAAATTGAAATAGGTATACTCACAGACTACTGGTGACAGTGTAGATTTATATAACCCTGCAGGAAAGTGATATGGCAACATCCATCAGGAGCCATAAATATATTATGCCCACTGACCTGGGAATTCACCCTAAGGAAATAATTCAATAGGCGTGGAGGGAAGTGGTAGGAACCGGCTCACTGCGAGCCGGCTGTGATCGCTGGAATCAACTTAATATTCAGCGATAAGGGAATGGCTGAGCAAACTGGGGGTTCACGGGCTCCTGCAGTTCTGCAGCCATTTAAGATGATAATTAAGACGCAGCAACATAGAAGTGTAGATGAAAGAAGGCAGAACAGAAAACAGCATATGTGCACTGTGGGTATTATGATGTAAAAATGTCACCCTCATGAGGACACAGACAGGGAGGAACTGGGCACAAAAGAAAGCTAGTGTTTCAGAGCAGAGGGTGATTGAGTGACCTCCTCCGCTGTCGCTTTTACAATGACAAACCCCAGCCCTTGGAGAACAGCCTCAGGGGCTCTCCTGTCATAGACTCTCTGAAGGGGACACAGGAGACACTTGTGTCCAAACCCCTCTTGCCAGGGGGGAGCTGACCTGGAAGCAGTCAGGGAGGCCATGAGGGGCCGTCCTGTCTTACCATGAAGCCTGGGGCACAAGTGCAGCTCCCAGTGACGCTGTGGCAGTCGGCACCATTCTGACAGGTGCAAGGCAGCTGGCAGCCATCGCCGTAGTAGCCAGCAGGGCAGGACTCATTGCAGTGGTGGCCAGACCAGCCTGGCTGGCAGGTACAGGCTCCAGTGACGGGGTGGCAGCTGAGTCAATGAGAGAAAGGGGAGAGGACAGTCCGTCAGGGTTGTAGCCATGTCCCACTTTCTGCTCACCCCGAACCTGGTCTGCCCAGCATAGCCGGATTGAAGGACCTGGGAGGTCAAATGGCTCAGTGCCTTGCTTGTTTATCAGAAGATACTCAGACCACATTAATGGCCTCATGAGTCCCCAGAAACAGGCTCAGGTGGTTATGTAATTTGCCTAAAGTCACACAGCAAGGATTAGCTTGTAGCAAGATCAGGATTAGACCCCAGACCTTCTGACTCCCAAACATGTACACTTTATGAAACAACTACACAGAGACCAGAGTCTCTAGTCCCTCTCTAGTCATGTAGGCTACGGGGTCCAGGGTTTCACACACACCTCACCCAAGGCAGATCCCTAGTGTGGCCCCAAAAGATGGCAACGACACTCAGGGCCTCCCCAACTTGCAGGTGTTTGATGGATGTCAGATGAATTAAGATCAGACCCCAGGGTAGATGTGGCCTTTCCTCACCAGCAACATCTGCACTATAAAGTTCCCCCAAACCTGTGCTTTGCTAAGGCCCTTTCATGGTAGATGGGCTCTTTCTGATCCAGCGAGGCCAGAGAAAGGACCATTTGGCTGGAAGCAGGTGCTGCCTGGCATGACCCCAGAGAGGGCAGGCAGTGGTGTGATCCAGCAGCCAACATCCATTCGTGGTCAGGGGGATGCTGGATGTGCTGCTCGGAGCTCCTACAGGAGTGCGACACGGACGGCCACAGCTGCTGGGGCCGAAATCCTGAGGCCACATTTCCCTCCCGCTGCTCCACATCAGGGACACTAAGGTGGGCATCTGCTGGGTGAGCTGGCCTTCTCTGTGCTCACCTCTGGTTTCAAGGCTCCCTCTGGAACCAAACTTTCTTAGAACGGCTGGGAGCTGAGGCTGTTCCACCTGCTTCCTTCCTTTCCTCTCCCCTCCATGCGGGTCAGACCTGCATTGCAGTCTGATGGCTCCCTCCCCGTTTTCCTTGCACACAGATGTGTCCCCTAGTAAATCATTTGCTTTTGGCATATGCCTCTGGGACTGCCCAGACTCACACACCAGAAAAGGAGCTGGATGGTGGAAACAAGCCTCTAGACTCCCCGAGTGTCCCCTGCTCTGGAGTCTTGCTCCAGGGAAACTATCCAGAGAAATGTGCACTGGGCTGGCAGGAGGCCAGCTTTCTGGCTAAGTTTCCAGGAGGGCGGGGCTTTGTCTCTCTGGGCTACAGATGGGTTCCCAGGTCCTGGCTTAGAGTCACTGCCCAATTACATATTTGGGAGTGAGCACAGCTTTCCCCGAGTTTGATTGCATTCTGTGTCTGTCTGCCCCACCGGGCGCGGCTCTCTGGAGGGAGTCCTTGTCTGTCTCACTTACCTCTCAGGGCCCGGCAGGGGTCCTGGCACAGGGGAGGCACTTAATGTATATTTGACGAATGAATTAATGAACAAACTAATTATGTGCAGCCCAACCAAGCAGTTTCTCATCTGGGGGCCCTGGTTTTCTCACAGAAAATGAGGGGGTGGACAGAGGCAGACGATTCCTGAATAGTAAGTGCAAGTAGCTAATAATCATTTTGGAAGATGTTTAGTCTCATTAATCATCAAGTCAAAACAACAATTGGATCTCAGTTTTTTCTCTACCAAAACAGTAAAGATGTTTTTTTAAAAAATGCTGGTAAAAATTTCAAAAATGATTTGAGGTTACATGTCAGGAGACCTAAAAACGTTCTGACTCTTTGGTCTCGTAATTCCATTTCTAAGAATCTATCCTAAGGAAATAATCAGAGTCATGCAGAAAGATTTATGCACAGAGATGTTCCCTGAAGCATTATTTATAACTGTGGAAAATGGAAGCAATTTGAATAATAATAAATAATATGTGACCAGGCTATTAAAGCACCAGGCACTTTACACACATATTTCTAACCTTCAGCAAGCCTGTGAATTAGGAATTTGAGCCTTTGCACAGATGGCAGCTGGAGGTTATATGACTTGTCCAAGGTCACACAGCGAATGGGTGAGTGGTAGAGCAGGGTCTATCTGGCCATATTTATCTCCTGCCTCAGGCTGTCTCTGACACCAGGGTGATGGTCAAATAAATTATGATCATCCGCATGAAGGAATGCTAGAGAGGGATCCATTTGTTTTCAAGATATTTAATGACATGATACAGAGTTGTTATGATCTGTATCTGAAATGTCCCCAAGTCTCTTGTATTGAAGGCTTGGTCCCCAAGGCAGCAGCCTTCACAGGAGGGGCTTTTGGAAAATGATTGGATCATGAGGACTGTCACCTCACCAGGGGATTAAACTATTTGATGGGTTCATTCATAATTTTAATGGATTATTGGGAAGTGGTGGAAACTGTGAGGTGAGACCTAGTTGGAGGAAGTAGGTCCCTGGGGTGTGCCCTGGAAGGGCATTTCTTGTGTGTGGTCCCTTCCTTTCTCTCTTCTCGCTCATCCTCTCTCTCTCTCTCTCTCTCTCTGAGGAACTTCCCTTCGCCATGCTTTTCTGCCATGATGCTCTGCCTTGATCCAGGCCCAAGGCTATGGAGCCAGCAGACCATGGACTGACGCCTCTGAAACTATGAGCCCAAAACAAATCTTTCCTCTTCTAAGTTGTTTCTCTTGGGTTCTTGTCATAGTGACAAAAAGCTGCCCAACACATATCTTAGTGAAATAAGTAAATTCCGTACAAAGTCATGATGTGAAATATGAAAAAGTGAGATAGATACAGACATGGATGAAGAATGAACAGTTTACAACGAAATTTTGTGCTGACCTCTAGGTTTAGAAATTATGAGTGACTCTTAAGTTTTTTCTTTAAATGTCTATGTATTCTCTAACTTTCCAAAACTGAGTGTCTTATCAAATTTATAAACAGATGCAAAACAATTAAAAATTGTAAATATGTAACAAAGAAGCATGGGTGTAAGGGATGAGTTCTTGAAACTTTCTGACCTTCACATTCTAGAATCAACACCCCACCCCCCTCCAAATATTGATGGGCACAGATGCCATAGGCAGAACCCACTTGGTGTCCCTGACCCTCAGCCCTCTCCACTCAAAGCCCTTAGGCAGACTCTTTCTAGGTTTCAACTTTCCAGGGGCCTCTCTGGGATTGAGGCTTAGGGTAGGGGGACCGGCTCAGTCATGGTCATGAGGGCTGACACGCTTGGACCCAGGAAGGACCCAGTAAGTCCTGGCTGCAGCCATTGGCCCTCCCCAGTCCTGGAGATTCTAAAAAGGGTCTCAGGCACTTTTCTGCTCTTCTCCTCAGAAGATTCTTCTGCTCTCTCTGCCTCCAGAAGCATTGGGCTGGAATTCACCCACTGCAGGCTCTTACTGTGGCCAGGGTGCGGCCCCCTGAAAACACACCTGCTCACAGTGCAAACCACACAGACTGCGCAGAGCTTGCTTTTCCTCCTTTGATCTCTGCTGCCATCTTTGGCTGCTTGGAGGCTGTCTAGATGCTAATTTTACTCTCCACTCTGGGAAACAGAAGGCCCAAGACCAGATCTGAAATCATCCTTTTCTTTTGGCTCTTCACATCTCTAGGATACTATTTCCAAAAATAATAATATCTGTGTTCTTAATTTCATTATTTGTCTTATCTTATAAAACTCCAAAAGTCCTTTTGAAAAGAGCATGGGGAATGGACAGCTGGGGGCCGTGGTCACTGTGCTCACGCCTTTGTCCCTCCGGAGAGGGACTTGCACGTTCCCTGCTCCCAAGCTTCTCTTCCTCCCACCTTGAGTCCCAGGCCCCTGAGGAGGCTCAGGCGAGACCCACTGTCACTGTGTGCAGGCTGGCTCCAGTCTCTCTGGTTTCCCCTGCTTTTCTCCTGTTTTCCCCAGAAAGAGATTAATCACAGGCTAATGGGAACTGAAAGATGGACAACGCGGGAATCTTCTCAGAGTGGATTTTTCTGCCTTCCTCTTGGCCGCGCTGAGATTTCCATCAAGGCCTCATCTGTTGGCTAAATCAAATCTTTCAGAGGTAATACATGATTGCGCCTTCTGGCATTGGTCTATGACAATCTAATTGTGGAAGGGACACTTAGAGGCCTGATGCTCGGGGTGCTCTTCCTCAAGGTTACTCCTTTATGAAGGAGGGTGGCTTCTCTGTGTGTGCTACAGAGTTGATGGAGTGGGGAAGCTCCCGGCCACTTCTTCCTTCCCAGGGTGTGACGCGACCCTGGGAAGCAGCCTGGGTGGGGGGCGGGAGCATAGAGAGGTTGGGCTGGGTGGCAGGACTGTGCTTGGCTGGCCTCGGGAGTACTTTGTCTTAAGACCTACAAGCCATTAGGGAGCAGGGGACTTTGTGGTAAGTTGTGCAGAAGTTGGGGGGAAATGAGATGTGGCTTCCAGGGATCTCACCTTCATCTCTTGGGGAGTGGGGTGGCAATTTCACTTTCAAAGACCACTAGAGAGGTTTCCCCCACTAGGCTGATGGAAAGTGATGGACAGGCTGGGAAACAGGCATAGAGGGGAGAAGAGTCAGACAATTGCTTAGACAGAGGTCGGTCTGAGGCCAGGACCTCAGGTCCAACACCCACCCCGTAGCTGCGACTTAACTGCTTTGAGATTGGGAGTCAGAGAGTTGCTCCTTTGCTTTTCTTGAATCCCAAGAGAAGCCTCTGTAATGGGTCAAAAACTCATGGGGAGAGAGGGGCTGACCTGTGTCCACTCAGAGGGGAAGAGCTCTTCTCTGTGTCCATGAGATCAAAGTGCAGCATGAACGAGTCCAGTTAGAGCAGAGGCTGTCAACCTCAGACGGTCTCACTTCCCACCTGACCTGGGGAGTTGGCAATGACTGGAAGCATTTCTGATGGTCACAACTTGGGCATGGGAAGGGGACACCACTGTTATTCTCTGGGTAGAGACCAGGGATCCTGCCAAACACTTCACAATGCACAGGACAGCCATGCGCAACCAAGAACCATCCAGCCCCAAATGTGAACAGTGACAGGATTGAGAAAGCCTGAGCTAGACAGAACCAAAAAACGTTTGGGGGCCCAGCCACTGGGGCAGTGTGCTAGGAGAAAGGGGTGAAATGTTAAAGAGCAAAATTAGGCAGACATCAGATCCCGTGCAGAACACCTGGAGAGACGAGCTGTTCAACATGAACGCAGTGATGCTTTTTCACTGAAGACCTACTCTGTGCCAGGCACTGTGCAATACTGACATAGCAGCCACAGAAATGGACAAGCCAGGCCACTTGTGCCCTCAGGGCCCAGGCTGTGACAAAGCTCCCCTTCAGTGAGAACATGAATTCTGAGGAGCACGCCTCGGGTGGCCTGGAAGGCACCTCGGAGCCCCCACTCCCAGGAATCGCTACTGCCTCCCAATCCCTGAAACATGACATGCGTTAAAGACAGTAAAGCAAATAATCATTAATATTGGATGGGCTGAGATTAGCGACAGAGAAGAGGGAGTCCTTCCAGATTAATAATGCATGGAGGACTCCTTCAGAGGAGAGATAAATTATGCAGGGCACGGTTGCTCAGGCACGGGAGGAAAACAATAGCTCTTTAATTTGGGGCTTGGCTGGATCTCTGTGGCAGAGGCTCCCCCTGCACTGGAACTCAGCAGAAGCCTTGCGGAAGCCTTGGAGCCTTCCTTGTCTTCCCAGCGGGGGGTGGGTGTCCCCGCGTGGTTCTGACAAGTGGAACAGAGGCAGCTGCCCATTCCCCGACCAGCCACCTGGGGTCCTGTTTTTAATGCCTGCTCTGCAGACCCAGCCCAGATGCCACCTCCTCCAGGAAGCCTTCCCAGACCAGGGTAGCAGTCTCTAACTAATGGTAGATGTGGTTAGGTGAACAGAATTTTTCTTTCTCAGCAGGATATAATAGAGAGCTGTGCCTCTGGTGTTGTCTTGTATTTGAAGGAAAATGGTGAACTTTCCTCAGGATGAGTGAGCACTCAGACTTGTTCCTGAGGGCTGCCTCATGGCCCAGCCCTAGAGTACTCAGTGTTTGTTGAATGAATGAATGAGCGAATAAATCCCAGGTCACATACAGGCAGGTTTCTGGCTCCAGCACCTCTCTGGACAGTCTCCTTCCCAATTTCCACCCTTGCTTAGAACCACCTCCGCTCAGCCTTGAGGACCATTTTCAACTAAGCCATGACACACGCTGAGGGGCCTCTGCTTGCAGTGACCAGAGACTCCTAGGTGACCTGTGAAAAACCAAGCTGGCAATGAAGAAGGGCAGAGGCTGAGTCCAGCTGTCCTGGCACTAGGGCTGCAAACTGAGTGTGCTCTGCTCCCCCAACAGCAGCAGCACCACTGCCCAGAGCAGCCAGGGCCCCGGGGGCTGTCCACAGGCGGAGGGAGAGGGGTGCTCCCTGCACCTGCTCCCACCAGGTGAGAGGCAGCCAGAACAAAGGGCTGGGTCTCGCTGACGTGGGCTGGGGCATGGTGCAGGGAGGGAGGAGCCTTCAGGGCAGCCTGGGGCAGCCTGGCTTCTCTACTCGCCAGGTTCAGGCTCCATTGGCAGCAGGGGCCAGCTTCTGCTCAGGTGCCCCAAGCTACAAAGGACCAAGAAGCAGGGAAGAGCAGGCCCCAAGCTGAGGCCCTGATGAAGGGCTGGCTTCTGTCCCTCCTGTTCCTCTACCTTGCCAGGACCTCCTGGGACAACGCTCCCTGGGCCCCAGATGGGTCATACGGATTGTTAAGGTCCCTTCTGGTGTTGGCCCTCTGTGGCACAAGGCCCTGCGGTCACCACACCCTCTCCCTGCTGCAGTGTGTGGGGTCTCCGAGAGCCACGGTCTGAGGTGCAGGCAGCTGTTTGTGGAAGACAGAAGCGAGTGGGTTCTGGTTCTGACTCTGGCCACGTGGCCCTGGCTTCCCCTTGTTATCAAGGCAGTTACAGGAGCTGATGGCTGAGGTCTCCCAGCTCCTGCCCACCCTTTCCACCAGAGCCCCCTGCCCCAGCCCAGACCCACCTGATGGTGTTCTCGGGGTCACAGGGACAGGGCAAGAGGCAGCCTGGGCCGTGCAGACCCTCGGGGCACAGTCGCTCCTGGCAGCGTGGGCCCTTGTAGCCGGGTTCACACTCGCAGGCTCCTGTGCTGGGCGAACACTGGCCCCCGTTGTGGCAGTCACAGCGCTGCGAGCACTGGAAGCCGAAGGTCCCGAAGGGGCACTCCTCTTGGCACCTGTGGAGTAGCAGAGTGGGCTGTGGCTGGGCTCCCTCACCCGCTCTTCCAGATCCTTCCAGAATGTTCCCTTCCCTGCCTCCCCAGCTGATGGCCTCCCTCCTTTCTCCTCCTCCAGGAAGCACTCCATGGTGTAGTTACCCTGTCGGCTCCCTGCCTCAGGCCCCGTCTCCTTGGCACCCCAGCAATGAGTTTATGCACCCCAGCAATGACAATTATGTTTCACTGAGGCCAAACCTGATGTTTTTTCTACCTGTGGTGAACTACTTATGTTGTGGTTTAAATGTTTGTATCTCCTCCCGAATTCAGGATGGAACTTAATCCCCAGTGCAACAGTGTTAAAAGGTGCTGCCTTTGAGAGATTAGGTCATGAGGCTTCTGCCCTCCTGAATGGATTCATGTGCCCATAAAAGGGCTGGAGGGAACTAGCTAGGTCCCTTTCTTTGTCCTTCCATCCCTTGTAACACATGAGGACACAGCGTCCAAGGTGTCATCTTAGAAACAGAGACCAGGCCTTCACCAGCACTTTGATCTTGGCCATCTGGGCCCCCAAATTGTGAGAACTGGAAAACCATATTTATAAATTACCCAATCTCAGGTATTTTGTCATAGCAGCATGAATGGACTAAGATGATGTTTAGTATAAAACTTATCATCTAACCACTAAAGCCACTCAGTGGCTTTAAATACATTCATACTGTCATGAAACTATTACCACCATTCATCTCCAAAACTTCTTCATCTCCGCAAGCTGAAACTCAGTACCAATTAACAATAAACCTTATGTTTAAAATATATATCTTAACACGTCTGAAATCAGATAAGTCGTATAACTGATGGCGTGACATAGTTTAATTATAAGTATTTTTCATTCTTAGCAGTGTATAAAACAATGACGCATCTTACAATCAGTGGCATCTTAGGTTTGATGAAATGGGGTAATTTCGTTTCTCTGTGTTCAGTTGGGACAGACATAGTCTCTCTTTTCTGCTGAGCGATGATTCTCCTTCCCTAGGTGGGTCTTCCCCTGAGGAGAAGAGGCACCTCCTTCATCAGACAGGGGCCATTTCCTTTTCCTGGGACTGGACATCTCTTCAAGGCTGGGGCCAGGACTGGGTCTCTCCGTCACCTGTGAGCCCCCATTCCCACCCCAACGAGGAGGACTGGGCCGTTTCGTGTCCTGTGTGTGCTCCGGCTGGTGCTTAGAGTGCCCAGCATAATAACAATTATTCTTCACATGACTCACAACCACCAGGTGTGGATCCTCTATGGATGGACGTGACCCCTCTGCTGACTGAATGTGCCTCTTGATATTGCCCAGGGCTAGTTCCCAGGGCAGGCAAATTCATTGTCCTAGCAACTGGACCCTGGCAAGGTAAGGGGTAAACCTGGGGGTGACTCCTGCATCCCTATGACAAAGGGAAATGACCTCTGGCCTCTGGAGTTTGGATTCTCGGTTCCCCAGTGCTGCTGCAGTGGTGTGGACAGTGGAGAGCCGACCCAAAGGACACCCATGTCTTCGTCATAAAATGGGACACTAACGAAACCTCGTCAGCTTGTTTGGGGATTAAATAAGATAATGTGTATAATGTTTAGAGAGGTGCCTGGCCCATGCTCAGAGTTCAGTACCACATATTAGTCATTATTATTGCTCCCGTTAATACTGTTTCTTAAAACAGAGCCCATCTAGTGTTCTGATTTTGGATCCTGACATGAAAAAACCCAAAGGGAAGAATTCTCATGTTCACAGTGGGGAGAACTTGAGGAATTATGTGTTTAAATGATCGTGTTTTCCCATTTCTCGGGTGTTCTGTATGTCTTCTACAGTAATCAGGGGGAAACAATAAAATATTTTTTAAAAAATATTTTTTTAAAATATGGCCCAATCTTCTTTATTTTATCCTTGAGGGTCATGGGTGAAACTGACCATAGGCAGGGCAGGGCGAGCCCATGTCCCGGAGAACTCAGTGGCCCAACATGAGGGTGAGTGGCCACACCCCAGGAGATCTGGGAAGGCCGGTGGTGCCTGGGGGCAAGAGCAGCCAATGTGTCCCAGTCTCTTCTGTCATTGCTGCTGTGTTCCCACAGTGACAGGGACAGGGAGAATAACTGGCATCTGGCCTTGAGAGCTCCCCTCCCAGGAAGGACAGACAGCAGGGGTGAAGATGGCAATAGCCCCAAACGCCAGAGAGAAAGGGGCTTCCAGACACACAGGCTGAACCCCGTCCCCAACCCCTGACGCCACTGATAATCTCGGAGGTGAGGTGACTGCTCCAAGCTCACGTAGCCTGTGAGTGGCCAAGATGACACTCGGTCATCTTCCTGCATATCCTGCTGCATGTCAACCAATCTGAGGCCTCAGGAAGAGAAAGAGAGCGGAAAAGAAAGAGAAGAAAGGGAAAGAGGGAGGGAGATGTCTAGAGAAGGAGTGCAGGAGGGAAGGTAGGAAGGAGGATGAGGCAGAAGGATGACCCGGACAGTTAGAGACCCGCAGAAGCGCCATCTACCTGACTGGCAGGTCCCGGCTCAGCCTCAGGATGGATCTCTCCAGAAGTCACTGAGCTTTGCTTACCTCAGATGGCTCAAATGTCAGGAGAGAAAACTCACACCAGGAGACACCTGTTCCCCTTCATTGGAACACTCCTGTCCTCTGCCTAGCAGGTCTGGACAGAGCCTGGACAAGAAGCCCCTCTGAAGGAGCTCCCGGCCATACATTTTGAGGTGACTGATTCCACAGCCCCACAGAAAAGAATCTAGAAATGAAATAATGGCAACCTAATCCATTTACATAATCAGCCTCTATTTTTTTCTTCCTCACAATTTAAACAACTTATTTATTTAGAGATCAAGCAATGATGGCTAATGAATTTTACACAAAGCATGCTAATAACGGGCCTGTGGAACAGAAGGGTAATCACAGCAGGAATTAGTTTTCTACTTAAACATCCTTCCTTTGCAACATATCAATCTAATGTGTCCAATCCGCCATTAACAACCAGATACATTGCTCAATTAAATTACAAAATGAGCTGCAAAGCCCTCGTTACGTCTTGTGTTTAATTTGCACTGGATTCAGCCTATCCGGGGAGGCCCGTGTTATTACACCCGCTCAGCGTTAATACGCTCGTGATGATTTGGGGTGGGTTAATGCGGCTGTCACCTACAAAATAAATGGAGGCAATTTTACAAAATATTAAACACCAGGCAGCCTATTTAGTTGGGAAACCCAAATGCTACGTGGCCCTCTGAACTGTCCTGTGGTTGATTGGCAAAGATTGCTGAAGGGGCCCTTGGCTTTGGGGGTTTCTGCCCGCCCACAGATCATGGGCCAGGTTCCAAGAAGAGATTCTGGACTCTCCACTCAGTCCATCTTGGCAGTGGACACTGCGAGCTGATGAGGTGGGGTCTTCGGGGGTAGGGTCTAGCTGACTGGAACCCTGGGCTTGCTTGTTTCCAATGACAAAAAGGCTACATTCTTTCTCATGTGGAAGTGGATTGAAGCCAAGGGGTCCTGCTCTGATTTGGGGTCTTCCCTGGTTCCTGTCCCCAGCTGCTCATCCTTAGCGTTTCCTTACTTAAGGTAGAAGGTGCTCTCGTCCTGGGTCCCCAGATGCCAAGCCCACACTCTGTGCTTGGAAGAGTAGATGTGTAGATGAACAACGGTTGGCAGAGTCAGACAGGGCTTAAAGGCTTCAGACTGAGCCACAGAGGACCACGGTTAATGGATGGTCCCTCCTCTGGGCATCCCTGAGGACTGGGGTCGATTCCAGTGAGAGCTGAGCCTCCATTTCATCCATTAGGCCCTGATGGATGCATTGGGTGACTCTGTTTTGATCCCTCATCTGGACGTCACCCAGGGAAGGGGCAGAGAGATGGTGAACAAATGTTCTTGCTTTGCTTTGTCTGGGCAGAGCAACAAAACCCAGGGCCAGAAGTGAAACACGGATCTGTGGATCTGGGCAAGGGGGTGGGAGCCTCCTCGTCATTGGCCCTCTTGCTGGGAGAGACCCAGGTTGTGCCAAGTGAGGGGCAGGAGGCCTGGCCTGGGTCCCCTGAGCAAATGCCCTCCTCCAGCTCCAAGCCCACTCCCCACCACATACTCCACTTGCTGCCTCTCTTCCTCTGCCCCTGTGCTATCAGCGTGGCCTCCTTCCTCCAAGGTGGCCAGTGTGGACACGCAGCAGTTCCTCAGTTTTGTGGATCATCCACTGTGCCAGGCTGGTCTCATTTGAGGACACTGGGGCCCTGGTTCAGTCTGCTCTTGAGGCCATGGGCCTTTAGAGGATGCAAACTGATGTCAGTATATTTGGAGGGGGACTCAAATTTAGGAGTAAAAGTCCACTTCTAGAAGAAACCATGCAAACGGTGGGAACTGAATTTGCATTCAGCTTCTCTGAACTGGCTGTGCCGTTGTCTCCCTCCGTTAGTGCAGACAGTGGGTAGCAGTGCTCCCCTCCTTCCCCCAGGCACACCAGAGCAAATTCAGGGTCACTGGGCTGGGGAGGGGTTGCATCCTGCTGAGGAGGAAGGTTGAGTGGATGAATCCCCCTGGCAGGAGCACCCAGAATGTTTGCTGAGGAAAGAACTGGAAGGCGGGCAGACAGAGCGACGAGGGGTTGGTAAACCTCAGCCATTCCCTGCAAGGCTACTGTGAATAGGCAAGAGTCGACACCTTACCTGTCACCCATGTATCCAGCGGTGCAGTGGCACTGTCCAGTCACATGGTCACACTGCCCTCCGTGGTGGCAAGGGCAGTCCTGGCTGCAGTTCTGGCCAAATGTCCCTGGTGGGCAGGGCTGGGCACACACCGCTCCCTGAAACAGAGTCGGAAGACACACATGGTGGCGCTCCAGAGAGGTCATGCTCAGCCCACTCTCCTAGGAATGGCACATCTGCTGGGTCCCAGAGACCACCCCATCTTTCCAGTAGAAACAAAGAGATCTGGACACTATGTCTCCAAAGCCCTCCTCTTACAGATGGAGACACCGAGGCCAGCATGGCCATCTAACTATTTAGCACACATTTACAGCATGTGTGTTGTATACCAGGTGCTGTGTTAGGCACCAGCGGTACAGAAAAGGAGACTTGATTTCTGTCTTCCCAGTCCACTGGGGAGAGAGCCAGGAAAAGCCTAAGACACTGATAGTCTTGCACCGAAATGCAATAGAGAGCTGAGCAGACGTCAGGAGGAAGCCCCCAATTAAACATGCTGATGCAGAGACCTGCATTTATCTCCACTCCTTCCTCAAACTAGCCAATAGGAGAGCAAAGGACCCCAGAGGCCCGAACCCACAAGGACAAAAGGAATAGAGGACAAGAGATGTCCCAAGCTGGAAGATGGAAAAGCAGATGGAGGAGCAGTAACTGCTTCAGCTTCTGCTTTCTCAACAATGCTGAGTGCTCGCCAAGCAAGGGTGGGAAGCCACCGCGATGCTGGAGGATCCAGATCTTTCCAGCCTCAGAAAAGCTTGGGAACCCAGAATCCCAGCATCCATGGAAGGCCAAGGCACAGGGAAGTTGAGCAGGACTGTTAGAAAGTTTATAAAAGAAGGGACAAGACCCTTGATTTGTCCCCACCTCAAATAACCAGGTGATTTCCCAAGCCTTTTGGAGAGGTTGAACACACAGGCTTTGGGCGCAGGGACCCAGGAAAACTGAGGGTGGGGTGTAGTCCTACCTGCAGAATCATCAGACCCCCTGCTGGCTTCCCCTCACTCCCAGAATGATGATTGCCAAACTACACTTCCTGTGGCAGGAGGCTGAGGATCCCTTTTGGGAGACACTGATGAGCTCAGGAGAAACAACCCACAGATACTGATGTCTGAGGGTCCCAGCGGTCAACCTAGCATCTCCCTTTGCCTTTAGTTGACTTTTCTGAGGTTCACTATAAAGCATGATCCAAAGGTCAAAGATCACATGATATCTGAAGTAGGTTCTCATATGAAAGATGAAGACTGAAATAAATAGACAAAAGGAACACAGCGGAATCAGGAACTACGCCAGGAGCAAAGAAAACTTACGGAGAAACCCTCTCTCATAATATAAGTGAATATGACCGGCAGAACAGGCCCAGCGGCCTGCTGAGGGGCAGAGCCGCCCCCTCCCCCCGCACCTGCAAGGTAGGCGGACCTGTGACCCACCGGCAGGACAGGCCCAGCATCCTGTGGAGGGGCAGAGCTGCCCCACACGCCTGCAAGGTAGGCGGACCTGCGACCACCAACAGAACAGGCCAGACCTGCAACCGACAGACAGAACAGGCCCAGCGGCCTGCAGAAGGGTAGAGCTGCGCCCCCCCCGCGCCTGCAAGGTAGGCTGACCTGCGACCCACCGGCAGAACAGGCCCAGCGGCCTGCAGAGGGGCAGTGCCGCTGCCCGCGCCTGC